ACGTGAAATATGACAGAAGTTAAAAAATTTTTTAAAAGGGCCTCTTTAAGTCCACTTCGCCCACATGTAACTTTTACCTCGCCACGCCACTGAATTTCTCCCACTCTACTACCTAGTCGCCTATGTTAGAGTTAATGACAAACTATGGGCGTTTAATTGTCCCTTAAATGCTTTAAGTGCTTGTTTTAAAACATATTTCACGTTTCATTGTAATTACCCTAGAGAATGTTATGAAACATGGTTGATGATACAACTATTTGTATTAAGATTAGTACAGAATATGACAAGCATACATCCATTACAACTACTCTAACAAGTAAATTAACTGATTTATTTGCATAATAATTTTGTTTTTATATATACTGAAAGGCTTAAAAGTATAAAAGTACTATACCACAGACCACAGGCAGTGTGCATTATTTTTAATATATTAATAAAGTAATACATTTTTAATTATGTTTAAGTGTTATTTATGTGACTCTGATGAGTTTTTGTCTGTAAAAGAGTTAATATGGCATTTTAAAGTTTTTCATCATTTAAGCAACACATCATTATTTATTTGTAATCAAGGGGCATGTGTTAGAGATTTCAAAAATTTAAACAAATTTAGAAGACATTTACATAATGATCATTCAATACTTCAGTCTGAATGTGAAACCAGGTTACAAAATAGCGATATTCCTACACATTTATGTTTTGAATCTGATTTAAATTTGAATACAAGTCCATCAAGTTTGCCAATCTTAACCGAACTACCAGTTCCAACTATATCTACTGGTGATAATGAATATGAATTTTTTGAGGATAATGTTAGAAATAGTGCTATAAGTTTTCTATCTGAATTACATATGAATACTAATATGACTAACACTTTAGTACAAAAAATTGTAAATGGAGTTACTGAATTTATTTCCAATGGTATTTTACCTTGTTTAAAAACTATAGTTCTACCACTTTTGAATAATTCTAATGATATTAAAAAAAAAAAGTTCAAAATATATTTGATGTATTAAAAAATCCTTTTTCATGTCTTGAAACTGAGTTCAAACGAATGAAATATTTAACTGATCATAATTTATTTTTTGAGCCTAAAACTATAAATGTAGGGTTTACAAAGGAAAAAAAAACTATAAGTGGAAGTGACAGAATGTTGATGGTTCCCATTGAAGGACATTTGATATCATTAAAAATGAACCTTAAAGCTTTTTTTGAACTTCCTAGTGTATTTGAAACAGCACAACAATATTTGAAAAATTCTTTAAACAATGACTCAAATATATTAACTTCATTTTTAGATGGTTCCACTTGGAAGTCAATGAGTTTACAATTTCAAAATAAAACAGTTTTTCCTCTTTTCTTATATTTTGATGATGTGGAAATAGGTAATSCTCTGGGCTCACATTCAGGAGTCCACAAAATGGGTTGTATTTATTATACTGTAGCTGCTCTCCCTCCAGAATTTTTATCTTCATTAAAAAATATTTTTGTTGCTTTTTTATTTCATTCATCAGATAGAGGCCAGTGTAAAGTCAATAACAAAACAATGTTTTCAGCCTTAATTAAAGAACTAATTGAATTACAAGAGAATGGCATACAAATATCTATAAATTCTGAAGTGCATACAATTTATTTTTGTCTTGGATTAGTGTTGGGAGATAACCTAGGTTTAAACTCGATCTTAGGGTTTGTTGAAAGTTTTTCGGCAAACTATTATTGTCGAATGTGTCGTTCTCACAAATCAGATCTCCAATACATGCTTAAAGAATCAACAATGATTAGAAATAAAAGTAACTATATAGATGATTTAAGAATAAACGATGTTTCTCAGACAGGAATAAATGAGTTATGTGTTTTTAACCAAGTTCCTAATTTCCACGTAATGGACAACATAGTGGGTGATTTTATGCAGGATGTGCTAGAAGGTGTTGCTCGTTATGATATGGCTGTCATTATAAATCATTTGATAATAAAAAAATATTTCACTTTAGATATTTTAAATAAACGGATTRAACTTTTCAACTATGGGATAACTGAACGTAAAAATACTCCTCCCAGTATTATCCAAAATAATTTAAAAAAAGGTTATATTATTATGTCTGCATCAGAAATGCTATGCCTAGTACGCTATTT